TTTCTTTAGTAATCTCTTTGCCCTGATTTTTACAGCACTTCTCCATCCAGTTATATATATAAAATATATATATATTTACCAAAGTATAAATATATTTTAAAATCCAGAATTATATTATCTAAACCCTCTAAACTATCAGAAATAATATATAGCTATAGGTATCGATATGTAGATATAGATATAGATATCTTGGCTCTTCTATTTCTTTTACTTCTAGCTTCTGATTTTAGTTTTTATCCCATTAACATAGGTGTCCATCAAGGTTTTCTCCTTATTTTAGTCTTTTCACATTGTTTCCTTTGGCATTCTCATGTGAGAATTCATCTGGACATTCATACAAGTAGATGACAAGTAGCCAGTTCTGCCTTGGGAATTTAATCTCACAGCCACTTACAATAATCACTTATCCATAGTTACTTTCAGCTCCTTATGCAGGCTTTAGCCTCAATCAAATTCGTCTTCTAAATGGGCCAGTTGTGGGTTTACTAACCCAGCTGTAGCACCTGGCTCACCATAGTGTGTAACTTTGGCAACCTAGCTGTCCAGTATCAGCCAAGAGGCATCTTGGTGCTTCTGAGACAGAGAACCATAAAAGCTGAGAAAGTCTCACTTGAAAGGGAATAGATGTATTCTGGGATTTCAGGAAGACAAATTAACTGTATTTAATAGTGGGCTAGAGTTACAGAGGCGGGGCAGAGGGCCCAACAAAGATAACTGTGTTTTCTGACCTGCGCACATAGGGGCATCGCTATTGCTTTTCCCTGAAAGTAAAAGGCTGTCATCATCTGGGAGACCGAAGTGAGCGATCAGAATGCCAGGCAGAGGGAAGGACTGGTATCTCAGACAGAAGATGCAACATAGCAAGGCCTTGAAGATGTGGCAATCATCAGTCTTCTCTGGAAATTGCAAATAGTGTGGTGGAATTAGAACACGATAGCATGGGATGACGAGCAGGGACTGGCAGATTAGAGAAACGAGTCTTGAAAAATAAGCTAAGTCCTAAGTGTGAAGGGTCTTTGATTCCACTCTAATTAATTTACCTTATATTTATAATTCGGCTTTTTCTCACAAGTTTAGATTCAGAGACTGCTGAAGTTTTATGTCCAAATGATGCATCAACATAGAATTGCGTACTTTCATTTTGCAAAGTAAGGTATTAAAAGAATAATGAAATCCACTGTTTTCCTTAACATTTCAGAGACCTCTTAAAATCCTACAATCTTGTTTTGAAATTTTATGCCATGGTTTTCATTGTTTATCTTTCTTTTCTTTAAAATAAAAAAAACTTTTCATTTGACTATGCAAATTAAATCTTAAGCTCAATGTAGAAATTATAATGACCATAGAGCTTTATTTTTAAATAACGGAGAACTGCTGGAAATGAGTAAACGCTAAACTTCTATTTGAAAAGAGGAACTCAGAATCTAGTTAAACTTCAACACCTTAGACAAACAGCCACAAATCACCAGTCAAGTGGAAAGCTTGAGCAGTGAAGAATAGTAGTAACAGCATTGCTGAGCCGGACCGTATGATAACATGCTTAAAAGGGCTTGGCAAATGACGGGCCTTGACTGTCCTGCAGGGGGTAATGATTTATGTTTAGCAAATAGGATGAGTGCTGGATATGCTTTTTTCTTTTCTTGAAGATGTGCTCGGAAAGGATTAAAGTTCATAGATTAGTTTTAGAATAACCAAATTTTATCCTTTTAAGTGCTCCTTTCAAAAGATTGATTTTCCTTGTGTACTGGTAAGAAATTTTTAAATATTTTATTTGTGTATGTTTTAAAATATCCATCAATCCTACTTTCATGGACAATTACATGTAAGATTAACTATAGTGGATGGAATTATCTCAGTATTTTCTTACTGTTTTTGCAACTTTAACTGCTATATTTTCATTGTTTATAGTTTTCTGTTAAGGAGATCTTGAAAATGGATGAGTGGAGATTCTCTCTTTTATGGGAATTGTAAATTTATGGGAATTTCAGGACTAGTACCAGAATTGACACAACTCTAAATTGCATTAAAAAGGAAGCTAAAGAACATATAAATCATGCCAAAAATACTTAGGATTGGGAGGACTGGATGCCTCAGGGAATTGGTAATTTGATCCAAAGCCTGTCACCTGTTAAAATTTATCCTGGGTCAGTAGTGACTGAAAATCATCACGACCTGACAGGTGTTCGGGATCGCGTGTAAATTGAAGTGGTGGCCTCAGTATAGTTCCTGCTTGACACGTGTGTGCATTACAGAAACCACTGCAGCATTAATTGATAACTATGCTGGCAATCTTGACTGAGGTGCTAAGGACTGACTGACCTGAGCTCTTTTCACCCCAACTCATGTGCCTTTTAAAATAGGTTCAAGTGTGCTGTGTAGTAGAAAAGTGTGTTTAGGCCTGTTCCTTTGACTAAAATTGACTAACTATATTTTCTCAGAGCAGATTCCATCGTTATAACATCTGAGGCTTTTTTCCCGATGAATGAGTGTCTACTTTTTGAATCATCAACTAATAGAAAGCATGACATTTCGGGTACTTTGCGTAGGGACAAGTAAGCCCATTCCCCTCGAATACTCTCCTTGAAGTTTAATTCTGAAGCATCAATGCGTTCTTACATGTATAAGAATTTATATAATTCATTATTAACTTTTGAAAGAGTTGTTTTTTGCTGAAGTTAATATTTGTTATTCAAAAACCATTTATGTACTAGAGAGTCAAATAAAAGAAGCCCTGCAACCCTCTCCTCCTGGTAGTGGATGAAGGAGAAGAGATCACGAAAAATTGGTCCTGACTGATAATAATATATGAGGAAAACAACTTTTTATTCTCACAGAAGAGTCACAATGGTAAACAGATTTATATGGATGAACTTCCAGCCATGTCACCAACAAAATTATAATTAGGAAGGAGGAACTTACGCTTTCAGTAATAATCTAATACTTTTCTTAATTGTATATGACTTACTTTCTACTCTTTAGGAAGATTACTCTTGAGGAAGATGATTGTACTGCTTGCAAAATGTAGTAGTTTTACTTGGTTAATAATTACATATTCTTTTTATACTAGCAAATTATTCTCCTTTCCTATAAACCCTCCCAGAATTCTAAGAAAAGCCTGAAAATAATCTTATATGCCTTTTGTAGACAATAACAAGGCTGGCCTGACATCTAATTAGTTTTCCAGTAGTGGCAATAACTATGGGTGTACGGTTTTGTCTCATGGCTAACAACATGTCTTTGTCTAATAGCTAACTAGCCTTGAAATCATGAGACAGATCATTTTCTGGGTTTGTAGAATATATTCTTCAGTTCATTAGTAAGATGCATTTATAAATTCAGGAGTCCATAAATGCAACAGCAACAGATGGGGCCTGATTATAAATGATTTCGGTTTGTTGGTTTGCTGCCTTTCACAATTGTTCTAGACATTCCCCAAGCATACTTTAACTCTTTCGTTGTATCTTTTGTTACATTCTTACAACCCTGCAATCTCCTTTTCTTTGTCTTCTTCTCTATCTTCACGTCCACACTTTTCTTCCAGCCATGTAAACTTCTTTCTAGTTTTGAGGTCTGTGGAGTCTGTGGAGTCTCTTCTAGCACCCTCACACATCCACTCTGCACTCCAGACAGCATGGATTTTCATTTCCACACTCTTGTGAGCAGTGCTGGGACTGGTTGTACTTGTAGACTAAAGAGATATTGTGGCGTGTTTAGCACGTGAATACTTAGAGATATTTATTGAGAGAATGAATAATCACAGCTTTATTCTTTTCATTTTTGTTGTGTTTAAATGTTTCATTGCATGTTTAAATGAGCTCTAGAAGACCTAAAGAAATACCTACAGAGATATGTACATTTAAATAATTTTGCTTCTGATGAACTTCATTTTTAAAACCCTGACCATAATTTTGTCAACTGTGAGCTTTAAGGTAGTTTAAATGATTTTTAATTTGTGTATATCTGTTGAAAAACAGCTAATGGACTTTTTTAACCTTTTTGATCAATTGTGTGGAAGTGTGTAAGATTTTTACTTTTACTCCAGGGAAAAAATGGGATAGGGCAAGAGGGCCCAAGGGCTACAAATGGTTCAAGCCTAGCAGATTACAGTGCAAAAATATTTCAGCTTAGTTATGGAAAAGTTAAAACATTTTCTAAAATAAAATTATTCAATGAATCCCCATTGACTTATAACCCCCTTTAACCATTGTCAACCTGTGACCAGTTTTGCTTTATTTTTTCCCCAATCCATTTTCCTTGCTCCAGATTATTTTTTGAAGGCAGATTTATTAAAGTCTTGTTTATATAAAATGTTATGTATTCTTTTAAAATGTAAAGATAGGAGATTTGGAACAAACTCAATAGAACGCTTCCACCACCACAATCATTTTCCTCATACTCTTCTGTGATCTCTTTCCCCACCCTCAGCTCTAACAATCACTAATTTGCTTCTGTTCCTAGAATTTTAATTTTTCTGGAACATAGTATAACTAAATTCAAGTAGCATGCAATATTTTTTATTTGGCTTCTTTCACTTAACAAAAACTTTTGAGAGTCTTTCATGGTATTGCATGTATCAGTAATTTATTCATGTGTTCACTTGTACGTGTCACAAGTGTGCACTCCATTTTATTGGTGTACCATGATTTATTTATTCATTCAACAGGTGCTACTCCCTTAGACAACATTTACATGTTTTTTTTCTGTTTGGGGCTGGTATGAGTGAAACAACACCGAAAATTCACAGATATTATTGTAGATATATTATTGATTTCTTTTGGGGGAATATCTAGGTATAGAATTGCTAGGTCATATGATGAGTCCATTTCTACAGGAATTGACCAGACTATCTTCCAAGGTACTGTACTATTTCATGAATAGTCAGTGCATTTCAGGGCAAAATTTTATAGTAAGAAAACTGTCCAAATTTTTCCTTTTAAAATTTCTGTTACTAATAAATCTTGGATCTAAAGTGCTTGGTTATTTTTATTACTCAAAGCAAGAAGACTCATTGAGGCAGCTATCAAGACATCTCGGTGCTTACTTCTGGCAAGATCCTGGCTAGAGTTCTCTTGGACAGACTACAGTGCAGCCTCGCCAAGTATGTGCTCCCGAAATCACAGTGTGGCCGTGGGCCATGGCACAGTACAGCTGACTCAATCCTTGCAGCATGTTTGGGTTCAGGAAAGTCAGGGCTTGAGTCAGGCTGTATCTTACAAGATTGCAGAGCCTAGAAGATTCACTTTCTGGTTAAGTGAGTGTGCCAGAGAACAAATAAGTCATATATGTACAGTGAAATATGTCTTTTTCATTAAAAAAGTATCATTTCTATTAAACATTTTAGAAAGAAAGAGTAAACAATAGCATCCTAGTATAGTACCTTTTAACCTGGTGAAATAATTTGATTAAGTCAAGAGTTTCAGGTTCTTTACAGTATTTTTTTAATCATTAGAGTTTTAGGAGGTCCTGGGTTTAAATCTATGACATATTTTCACTTTTATTAGAAAGCTAAAGGTGTTTTATTCAGCTCTTATTTTTATATGCTATAATCATATATAAACATATATTTATACATATTAATAAATATATATTT